CCTACAAATCACCAATTCGTTGCACCTCCAAAGTATCATAAGCAAGCTGGTAGGCCAAAGAAGGTGAGGGCAAGAGAGCAAGATGATCCACAACCACCATCAACCTTAAACAAATTGCCTAAATGCTTCAGCAAGGTCACTTATGGAATGTGTGGCAAGAAAGGTCATAATCGTATCACATGCGGGAAGAAGCAACGACAAGCTTCACAGGTAAAAGTGTTGAATCCCACATCGGTTGTAGTAAAAAGATAAGTAAGAGTTTAAATACCATAATCCTACTCTAACTAATACCGAGGCCTTTTGTGATAAAACCCCACACCTGACGGATTGTACAGGTGGTAATCACCAAGTTGGGGACAATATCGGTGTTGTTGAAAGTGGGCCGTATGGCCCGTCTCTCTGATAATTCTACATGGTATTAGAGCCAGGGAGCAGGCCTGTATTGTACTACCACGTGATGGGTGGGTCCCCTTGGCCCCGCGCGATGATGGTGAGTCCCTTGGCCCTGCGTGTAGGGTGAGTCCCCTTGGCTCCACGTGGTTGTCGGTGTGTGGATCTCCCACGTGTAACCCACTAATTGGGTCCCACGTGATGGGGTGTGTTGAAATGTCCCACATCGACCGTATCAATGACAAAATAAGAGTTTAAATACCATAATCCTACTCCAACTAATACCGAGGCATTTTGTGATAAAACCCCACACCTGACAGATTGTGCAGGTGATAATTACCAAGTTAGGGACAATATCGGTGTTGTTGAAAGTGGGCCGTATGGCCCGTCTCTCTGATAATTCTACAAAAAGTAGCTTAATGGTTTCACTTATTTGCATTTTTAGTCACATATGGTTGTTTAATTTGGGGAATATCATCTCATAGGCCTATGGAGAAGATGGGAGAGGACAAACTTGTGGGACAAATGAAATTGCCCATAACTCACCAACAAACTTTTGGGACAAATGAAATTGCCCATAACTCACTAACTACTTAAAGTGGGCAAACACAAGCAATGATGTGCTCATTGAAAACTTTGGTATTTTAAATTTGTCTTGTATTTATAGACGGATGTATGTGGAACTCTTTTATTGATCATTTTGTAGCATGCCATTGGAGGAAATATGGGAAGTGAAACTCCACCAAATCAGGGACAAGAACAATCTGCATCTAATGCAAGTTCTTTTGATCTATGTCCTTGTCCCTTTCTCGTGTGTGTTTTTATAACCCAATGCCATTTGATAATTTTTCAGGTTTTTTTTTATTTTTTTATTTTTTTATTGTTTGTAGGTTTCTAAAAGGGGTAGAGTGAAACAAAATGGAAGGGGCAAGTCAGTGCACAATTCAAGAAAGTCACCTGAAAACCGTAGAATCTAAAGGAAATCATTTGGAAATTTAGACTTTTTGTTAATGTCAATTTTTTTTTTTTTTTTGGATGAAGACAATGTTGTTTAAGCCCTCAGTATTTGGTGTTTTTGATTTTGAACATAACCAAGCAATGAAACAATATTTTTGATATGGTAGCAATGAAATGATCAGGCATTGCTTTCTCTTATGGTTGCTCAAAATATGTTAAGATACAAAAGTGAGTGTGTTCAGTTTAGCATGTCACGAAATCAAATTTTATATAGGCTCTGTAATATGAGAAACGAGTGGAGGTTTGGTGCCAGAAATGGAGTTGTAGATGCTTATGCGCTACTCGATCACAACTATCCGCATGAATACTCTCTAACACAAAATTTAAGGGTTTTACTAAAGAAAAGTAAAAAACTTGTTAAAAGATCTTAAAATGACAGAAATAACCTTGAACACAAGTCATGGGCGAGGCGCATGACTTATTTTGGATAGAAAACTTAACGGAATTAGGGTGAGATGACAAATTGATGATTTCGGCAAGTTGGTATGACAAATTGCTTAAAATTTTATTTATATGACAAATTAAAAAAGGTGTACAAGTTCATATGATATTTCAAAAAAAATCCCCTTGGAAAATTATGGTCCCTACGTCCAACCAAATAATAAGGTTTTTGATGAGACAATGCATGCCAACTTGAGCATTATGATGTTCATGATTTTGTTTGCGTCTATACATATGTTTACTCCGTAAATGTAGATTAGGTCGGTTATTAAGGCATTATATCTGTCTCGTTCTTATATTCAAGTTTAAATTCTTCTCTCGTAAGTTATAGCTTATAATATCGTCTTACCAAAACTAAAGATACTTATTTTTAGTGGGATATATTTTGCTTAAGTATGTATGTTTGCAAGATTAAATGAAAACCTCCAAAACGTATGAGGTTTAATTGAATTCTAACCACCACCACCACCCTCATATAATTAGGGCAAAAGGCGAATTTAGGAGAGCTCCTTTCAATCATTTTGTACCCATGCATATTATTGTGATTCAATGAAGCTCCCCGTTAAATGAACTGCACAAATAGGGGAGACATTCTCCAGCTGTCCGAAGCCCACAAACACAGCGATCGTTGAAGCTTGCTTCTTCTCCAGAGTTTTCTTGGTCATCAATACGACATGTCCTTAATAAAACCGATTTGATTCTCTGAACAATCGGAATTTCGTAGTTTTGTCTCCACACCACTCATTTTAAATCATGCGGTTCTCATTAGCTCATTCTACTTGCCTTCCTCACACAAACCACGAGTTCAGATCTCCCTCTCTTTAACTACCCGAATATCCGAGTTCTTGAACTTTGAAAACAAAAATCCGGAGAGGATCTCAACTCTAAATAGGGTAGCTTGCTTTCAGCTCTTTGTTCTTCTGCAGTTCGAATTGGTTTCCTATATCTCATGTCTGGTTTTGGTGGGAGTTTGCTTTCAGCTCTTTTTATTTCCGTTGGTGCTTCTGGTGCACTTTTGGTTTAATAGGAAGCATGCTTTCGGAGCTCATATCAAATTGGACAATGTATGTAAATAAGGTAAATAAAGTTTCTGTATACTCAATGATGCACCTCTTTATAGTATGTGCACGACCCATTGATCTTACAGTTTCAAATTTCGATCAGCAGTTAGCAGCATTGCTTACTCTCCTTTTCATCATCATAATAAACTTAGCAGTGGGAATTCTACCACACGTGGACAACTTTGCTCATATTGGAGGATTTGTCTCCGGATTTCTTCTTGGATTTTTGTTTTTGATCTGCCCCCAGTTTAAGTGGCCTACCCAACGGAATGCTCCGCCTGGACGTGTTAGTACTCCAGTTAAATCTAAACACAAGACGTATCAATATGTATTGTGGGTCCTCTCTTTGATACTATTGATTGTTGAGTAAGCTCTTCCTCGATCTCTGATTTAATTGTTTGACTTCATGAACCTAATCGATTCCCTGCATGAGAATCTGGTAGCCACAGTTGACGTGTGCACATTTTTTATTTATTTTTATCAAATCAGAGAACTGGATTTTGTGTAGATATGTAGATATCATGTGTCCTGTAATATTTTCATTGCGAATAGTCTCTGTATCTGCTTGTTTCTTATCAGAATGGTTTGGAGAAGGCATTGTGTTATCGTCATTTTCTGTGTAATACTATTTGATCACTTTGTTGATAGCGGCTTCTACTTTGTTGTTTTGGGTTGCATGTGTTGGCAATACTTTGTTGTTTTGTTATTGGAAATAAAGGTTCATTTTCCTCGTATTTGTGTAGTATCAGTATATGCAGGCATTTTCTGACAGAAGTCATGTTTTTTATAGGTATACTATTGGCCTGGTTACTCTTTTTCGAGGGGTCAATCTAAACAACCATTGTTCCTGGTGTCATTATTTGAGCTGTGTCCCTACATCAAAATGGAATTGCAAGTCACAAAACATTTGTTGTCTGATAATATGCTGTACTTTTCTGCGCATATTAACTTCCGCCTTAATATTTGATAGACAGAAATGCTTGCTTATTAATATGATCATGGTTGCATTCAGTCGTTCTAGTTTGGTATGATGTTTAGTCTAATGCTTTAAAGAAACATAATTTAAGAAATGACTCGCAAAATTCTGTGTCAGGAAATTGCTTCTGCAACGTACTTTGTTAGTACTATAAATTGGTTTTGTACTGACATATTGTTCTTTATATGCATATATGCACCAATCTTGCAGTCGAGCCAGATATGGAATCAGTTGAACTTAACGTGCGTAAGCAATGGCAGAAATGGAACATATTCATTGTCAGATCCCAGCCCCTGCCGGACTCAGCAGCTATGTGCTGAGCTTTGCAGTTGAGCATACATGTGCAGATTTCAGAGTTGATAGATGTTGATTGATATGCTTCATTCTTGTAGTAAGTATTCTTTCTCTTTCTTTTGTTTTTTGTTGGGTAAAATAGTCTTGTGTATTCACCAAGCAATGGTTCTCGTTGTCATTATTCTTCTCATTCTTTTACTGCCTTTGTACCTCTTTTCTGCTATTCATAACAGTTGAAACCCATACCGATAACTATAAAATTTACTCGCCATATAGAACTACTCAGACACGCAATTTACTCACCATACCTAAGTTTGTTGAATGTGGGATGTTACGAATCCTCTCAATCGGACCTTTGCGCTCTACTTTCTCGGCTTTCTCTCTCATTCTGCAATGTTGCAAGATGATCGGACACATGTATACTTTCTAGTTCATCCACTAGAGGCGAACTTTTAAAAAAAATCAACTAAATAAAAAATCGTTTAACCATTTAATTAACATTATCAAAATTTCAGTATTTAATTGAAAAACATAGTTCATTTATTTATTATTGGATAACAATTAGATGAAAAAACAAGTAAGAATTAATTTGGTTTTTGGCGAAGTTGGACTTTAAAGGGTGACACAGAAATAGACAATTTTACGGAGTTAGTGCCAATCTCCAAATGCAAGTGCAAGTCCAATAAGGGAGGATCATTTCGAATCTTGACATTAAATAATCCCCTTTAGTGTTTTGTCATATTTCTTTCTTTCTTCGTCAAGAAAGGTAAGGAAAGAAATTTCGTCAAGTACAATAACAAACTCTTATTTGCAAGTTTCATATGCTTACTCTGCTAAGAGCTACCGATAGGTTATCTGGGGCTAATTTGATTGGTGCTGGAAGTTTTGGGGTTGTGTACAAGGGAGTTCTTGATGTTGATGATAGAGCTCAATTGGTTGCCCCCGTAAAGGTGTTTAACTTGTTATGCCATGGAGCGGCAAAGTGTTTTATATCTGGATGTAAGGCTTTGAGAAATATCAAGCATCGAAATCTCGTCAAGATTATAACTGCATGTTCAAGTGTTGATTCTCTTGGTAATGATTTCAAGGCTTTGGTTTATGAGTACATGGAAAAAGCAAGCTTAGAGAAGTGGCTGCATCTACCGACTGATATTGAAGAAGCAAGAGAGGCACCCAAGAGTTTAAATCTTTTGCAAAGGCTCAGCATTGCCCTTGATGTTGCTTGTTCTTTTGATTAGTCGATTATCTTGATAATCACTGTGAAACACAGATAGTTTATTGTGATCTGAAGCCAAGTACTGTTCTTTTGTACAAGTCAAGTACTAGACATGTTTCTGACTTTGATTAGCAAGGTTTCTCCCACAACTGAACCGTATAAAAGCTTCAACAAATCAGACAATTTCCGCCGGAATAACAGGAACGATTGGTTATGTGGTTTTTGGTAAATATTCACATCCTCTCCACAATATCTTTTTTTTTCTTTTAAACTTTTGCATAATTCAACTATTTTGTTCTCAATTTGCTAACAATATTTGGGAAGTGAGGCGTTAATAACTAGATACGTCTACAGTTTTGGAATTCTCTTGCTAGAGACTTGAGCCCCCATGAAGTTTAAAAATTAAGACTTGATCTCACTAGTAATTGTTACCATTTTTAAAAAGGTTGCATCTAGAGATGGGCAAAATACCCATGGGTTTGGGTAACCGCGGTTACCCACCCATTTAAAGTTCACAGTTACGGTAATGGGTAACCGTTTAGACGAACAAACAGTTATGGGTATAGCCGTTTATCCGTGAAATTTAAATGGGCGGTTATGAGTATTACCCGCGGTTATAACGGGTCTCCATCGGTTATGGGTATTATCCGTGATTATAACGGATATCCATTTACCCATTTAATTTAATATATGTAAATTTAAAAAAAAAAATTAAAAAACCTTAATTTTTCAATCTCTCCGCCAGAGTCTGAAACGCCCCGTCCCTGCTCATCTCTCCCTCCTCGCTGCCCTCTCTCATCTCTGCCGCCCTCTCTCTCATCTACGCCGCTCATCTCTCTCTCAAGATTCTTACGTCGAAAAGTGTCTCTGTACGTTCCCCTCCTCTCTCTCTCTCTCCCGGTTTCTCTTTGGGTTCAGTTTCCATATTTTCTTGCATTTTCTTAGAAACCAAACAGGGCATCAAATTTAATTTTTCTTTTTAACTCTTATTAGGTGCTGGGTTTTGATTGCTCATTATTTCAAGTTTCATGGATTGGGTTTCTCCAAGAATTGCGATATTTTTATGATTTTTTGTGCTTTAGCAATTGATGAAGCTTGAATTTCTATATAATTGATTACGTGTTAAAGAATAATCATACTTTTTTTTTTGTCAATGGAGAAAAGAGGGTCTTGATATGATTTTTAGATGTTCAATTTATGCTGGGCAGCCTTCTAACTTTGTATTTTATAGGATTAAGTATTATGTTTTCTATGGTTGATGATCTAAAATGTCGAAAAAATGGGTTTTCGTTAATGTTGTATATGCTCTGAAACAAAATGCAGTGTGTGACTCTGATGTTTAGTCGTCTATCGAGCCTTCGAAATCTTCGAATTTTGTAATTTTCAAGTTGTTAAACATGTAGACGGGTGAAAAAATGGGTAAATAGGTAAAAAAAGGATAAACAAATTCAAAAACCGGTAAATGGTTATGGTTAAATGGGTAAACGGTTATGGTTAAATGGGTACACGGTTATGGGTATGGTTAACCATTTATAAACGGTTATGGGTATGAGTATAACCGTTTATGCAATTACCCAATGGGTAAACGGTTATGCGGGTATAAACATAAACGGTTATGGGTAAATAACCGCGGTTCCCGCCCACCATAACCATTGCCCATCCCTAGTTGCATCCACAATAAGCTTTCTTGCAATGATACTTTTAGGGGAACTATGAGAAAATCAGCAATCTCACAGTCCGGCCCTTCAGAAAACGTACAGGCTTCAAAATTTCCATTCATAGCTAGGATCGCCCTGCTAGGGTAACTTTCATAGCTGGTGACACCAACGTGACGTCTGATGTGAGAAAATATTGGGTTCCATGTATTTGTTTTTCCATTTTGGATGATTGCCAAAATGAATTATGGATGATAATGCTATTATGTATGGTTGCCAAATGTTTCCAGTCAGCTTCTGGACTCAAGGTGCTTTAATGGTCTTGGTCCTTGGCGTTCACCGAAAATGCCAAACAACAGTTCCCAGTAGTGGAAGTAACCTAGTGACAGTTCCCAGTAGTGAAGTCGTCTAAAAAAACAAGCCAAAGTGGTTATCATTTACTTGGACTTATTCCTTCTCATATTTGAATTTTCAAGAACCAGAAACTGTGGTGTAAGTTCCTTCTATGATCCTATCCTTCTATAAATTTCCTTGTCGTTTAGTGGCAGTATTCCTCCTATGATCCTAGGGTAACTTTCATATTAAGTGACACCAACGTGACGTCTGATGTGAGAAAATATTGGGTTCCACGTATTTGTTTTTCCATTTTGGATGATTGCCAAAATGAATTATGGATGATAATGCTATTATGTATGGTTGCCAAAATGTTTCCAGTCAGCTTCTGGACTCAAGGTGCTTTAATGGTCTTGGTCCTTGGCGTTCACCGAAAGTGCCAAACAACAGTTCCCAGTAGTGGAAGTAACCTAGTGACAGTTCCCAGTAGTGAAGTCGTCTAAAAAAACAAGCCAAAGTGGTTATCATTTACTTGGACTTAATCCTTCTCATATTTGAATTTTCAAGAACCAGAAACTGTGATGTAAGTTCCTCCTATGATCCTATCCTTCTATAAATTTCCTTGTCATGCAACAAATGGAACTCACCAATTCACAACTGAACACCCATCTCTCTATTTCTTTCTGCTTCTCTCTCTAGTTATATAGTTAACCAGATCAGAAATGGGGGTTTTGGTTTTGAAATTGATCTTAATATACTTGCTTTTCAGTGCAGTGTTCGTTTGCTGTAGGAGCTCCCTGCAATCGGGACTCGAAGGGAATGCAACGGATAGGCTGGCGCTGCTTGCCATCAAAGCTCAAATAAAGCAAGATCTTCATAATTACAAAGTGATGAGCTCCTGGAATGAATCCACGCACTTTTGCATGTGGCATGGTGTGACGTGCAGTCGACGACATCGCCAAAGGATAACTACCCTGGACCTGCAATCTCAAAATCTGGTAGGAAAACTATCCCCAAACATAGGAAATCTAAGTTTTTTAAGGGAGCTGTGGCTGCAAAACAACAGCTTCAGTCATAAAATTCCTCCACAAATTGGGAATTTGCATAGATTGCAGATATTGCGATTAAACAATAACTCGTTTAGTGGCAGTATTCCACACAATATATCATATTGCTTCAACCTTATATTTGTGGATTTCACTCGCAACAAGTTGGTGGGTAAAATTCCTTCAGAAATTGGATTGCTGTCGAAGCTGCAAACATTTTTATTGCAAAATAATAATGTAACGGGACAGGTCCCTCCTTCCTTGGGGAACCTGTCGTCTCTCCAGCTACTAAGCCTTGGTAGTAATAACTTGATGGGAAACATCCCCAGTTCTCTTGGCCAATTGAAAAAATTAACCTTATTGGAATTGGGGTTAAATCAGTTGTCTGGTAGCATTCCTTCCTCCATTTATAACCTCTCTTCTCTTGTTATATTTGACATGCTAGCTAACCAAATTCAAGGGAGTATTCCATCAGATATTGGCAAAAATCTTCCTAATCTCGGATTCTTCGGCGGCGGCTCAAACCAATTCACTGGGCCCATACCTCCCTCAATATTCAACGTCACAAGTGTTTGGTATTTTGATGTTGGGGGCAACAACCTAGTCGGACCGGTACCGAATCTCCAAAAGCTTCACAACCTCCAGGATTTCAGCATTCAACAAAATAATATTGGAAGTGGTAAAGATGGTGACTTAAGTTTTCTCTCGGGCTTTACCAATGCCACACAGTTGAAAACGTTGATTATTAGCAACAACAGTTTTGGAGGGACATTGCCCATGTCAATATCCAATTTCTCAACCAAACTTCAATTGTTTTGGGTTGGCGATAACCAATTATATGGAAGTATCCCATCTGGGATAGGGAATCTGGTGAGCTTGGAATCGTTGTATTTGGGGGAAAATAGCTTCACAGGTAACATCCCATCTGACATGGGTAAGCTTTCAAACCTTGGAATATTATATATTTCCAATAACAAATTATCAGGAAATATTCCGCCTTCCTTAAGAAATTTAACCAAGTTATACGATCTTTCGTTGAATGGAAATCATCTTGAGGGTAGCATTCCTTCAAGCCTAGGGGAATGCCATTGGTTGCAATCGTTGTCTCTTTCTTATAACCTCCTAAATGGCACAATACCCAAACAAGTTTTTAGACTCTCCTCCTTATCGATTACTTTGAACTTGTCTAATAACCTCTTCACAGGTTCCCTTCCCCACGAGGTTGGGAATTTCCATAGTCTAAGTGAACTGGATCTTTCTGATAACATGTTATCTGGAGAACTCCCCAGTAGCCTTGGTGGTTGTGAGAGTTTAGAAGTCCTGCATTTGCAAGGAAACTTCTTCAACGGGTCCATTCCTTTGTCTATGAGTTCAGTGAAAGGGATTCAAGATCTAGACCTTTCTCGCAATAATTTTTCTGGTGAAATTCCACATTTTTTAGAAGGCTTTAGAATCCTGAATAATCTGAACTTATCATTCAATCAGTTTTGGGGAGGGGTACCAACTGGAGGTGTTTTCAAAAATGCGAGTGCTGTTTCAGTTGTTGGCAACACTAATCTGTGCAGCCCTTTTGCTAATTTAAAGCTTCCCAAGTGCACGTCTAAAGAGACCAAGAAACGAAGATTGTCTCGTTGCTTGAAACTAATACTCCCTTTAGTGTTTGGACTTACTCTTCTAGGAATAGCCATGGTGTTCTCCTATTTCTTTCTTTGTTCGTCAGGGAAGAAAAGGAAAGAAATTTCATTGAGCACTTTGGGGAACACTATTCTGCAAGTGTCATACGCTACTCTACTCATAGCTACTGACGGGTTCTCAGAGGCTAATTTAATTGGTGCTGGTAGTTTTGGGTCTGTGTACAGAGGAGTTCTTGATGAGGATGATAAAGCTCAACTTGTTGCCGTGAAGGTGTTTAACTTGTTACGCCATGGAGCTTCGAGGAGTTTCATAGCCGAATGTGAAGCTTTGAGAAATATTAGGCACCGAAATCT